TACTCACCTGTCCTTTACAACCCCTGCCCCCTCTTCACTGAACAGAGATTTGGTGTATTTGCTTAAGGAATTTAGATAATTATCATGTAAACACAGTAATCATTCAGAAATAGGGTATTTAATTTCAAGAATATACTGAAATAAACACCATGGATGTGAATCAGATATTTGGATTAAAATATCTGGCCATTATTTCAAATGCTGGAAAATTATTGAAATCAGAATACATACAGCTGTAAAGATGAATAAAATGATCTCCTCTTTTAAGTTTACAGTCAAGTGGGAAAGACAAGCCTGAATGCCAAGTGTTAAAGTGGAGGAAGGAAAGAAAGGAAATGCTGAGCAGTCAATGGAAGTTGAGTGGACAGAGAAAGGGCTGTTACTCCCCTGGATAGGCAAACAAGAGGAGATGGCTAATGGGAGGAATCTGTACACAGCTGACTGAGGTAGGGAGAATGGAGAGAAAGTCTGAAAGGTGGTGGCAGAGATAGGAATCAAAGACACATCTAGCACTATCTATACCACCTTGAAATAGTCCTCTACCTTTAGCCTGTGCTGAAAGAGTGGGATTAGATAGCCATGTTTATAATCCAGGATCTCACACACTCAACTACAGTTGACTGCTGAAGGGCAGGGATTAGACAGCCACACTTGTAACATATGATTCCATACTTGTGACCACAGCTGACGAACACCTTACCAGGGAGAAACAATTCTTAGGCCAAACGGAGCGACTTTCTTAAGAATTTGAGCTATGAAATTCAGAGACTTCCTAGGTATTGGTGTACATGGAAAAGATCATTTAGATCTGGTCCAGAGTCACTGAAGCAAGCCAAAGTCTAAAAGAAATAGTGAAGAAGCAGAGAAAGCTGACCTGTAGAGCGAAGCAAGGGGATGAAGTAGGTTTGCAGAACCAAGTGACTGAGGCCCTGTGAGAGAAGTGGCTTGGTTTCTGGCTTTGCAGACCTTTCTTGAGGTCACACAGCTATGCTTCATTTCCTTGTTCTGGATGCCAGTGGTTTTTGCCTATTAAATTCTTAGAGTAAAGCCCCCTTTCTCCTTTTTTTTTTTTTTGCCGTGCTGCGCGGCCTGCAGCATCGTACTTCCCCAGCCAGGGACTGAACCCGCAAATTCCCTAAATCCACCTTTTCTTAAGCAGGCTTGAGTCAGTTTCTGTTGCATGTAGTTAGGCAGTTTCAACTTAGAATCCTAAGTTCTGATCCTCAGCGATTGAGTATATGGAGGTGCGATTAACTTCTAGGCAAGATAAGGGGGAGGTTTATGGAAGAGAAGACTTTATTTTGTATGTGCTGAATTTGATCAGTGGTGAGATACCTATGTGAAAATGTCTAGCAGTAGTTGGAAATGGGGACTGAAACCCAGCAGAGGTTAAAGCTAGAGAAACAGATCTTGCAGCATAAGGCTAATAATTATTGTGATAGAAATGATTTAGGCAACCCTGGGAGATGGTACGGAAGAACAAAAGATGAGGACAAAATCTTGGGGGAAATGCATTTTAAGAATGAGCAAAAGACAGAAAAGGAGATGGAAAGTGATAATAGGAAGAAAACCAGGGTGATGCAAGTTTCACGAAGACAAAAGTGGCTTTGTACTGATCACGTGGCACAGAGAAATTAGATAGGGTGCAAATCAAAGACAACATTGGGTTGAGTAATTGGGTTGGGTAATTGGAGTATGATGATCCCCTGAGAAAGGCAGCTGCAGTAATAATAGTGGGAGTAGAACCCAGGTGGATATGGTTTGAGTAGTAGATAAGACATAATGAATACTACCATTTAGTTTGAAAAGCAGAGTGCGTACAGCAAACAAGATCATTTTATCAAATATCTAAAAGGTATAAACCACTTTATTTCTTGCTTTTTTGCTTCAAACTTGAAACTTTGTTAAATAATGAGCATTATAATAGAGTCTGTAACACTGTAATTTGAGCTGGATCTTAAAGGATGATTGCTAAGAGGAAAATGGAAGGAAATGTATAACATGTATATGATTGCAGATTTGCTCGTTACAATTCAGATGTGCAGAAGAAGGGGAGTTTTCCTACAGAACTCTTGCACCCGGTGGGAAGTCTAGAAAAAAATTAACTTTTAGTCCTAGGCACTTTAAAACCTAATCTGATACAAAGCAGCTAGAATTTATAATATCTTAAGGTAGTGCTTAAACATTTTGAAAATTGCTGTCTTATTTCTACCCTTTGTCTTTTCCCTAAAATGCTGTCCACATATATGGGGAGGAGAGGAGGCTTGCATGACAAAATGGCATCAGGGAAGACACTGCCTTCACTCTATTCTCTGAGCATCCTGCTGGCTTCTCATGCAATAGGCAATACCTTGTAAAATACGTCATCAGGTTTTCCTTAGCCTGGTCAGAGCCCAGTAATTCTCGGCTGACCTGGCTTCACCTTAGTTCTCTTGGATGTGGAGGAGAGAGCTCTGAGACTTCTGCAAAAATGTCTCAAGCAGTCCCGTGTAAGTCAGGTTGCAGGTTTAGCACATGCCACTCCACTGCAGGCTCCAGATAAGCCTACTTCCCATTTACCTATTTGCTTCCCACTCAGCTACCTTGTCAGTCTCCCCTTGGGAGAATATAGGAACTTGTGGGTCCCCTCTGTAGCACAGAGGAACAGAGTAGCTTGGGAAAGCAAACTGCATTAGGAAGGTTTACTTTGATATGGCTCTGTCCTAGCCTGGGAGTATCTCTTCCAGAATCCTGTGGACTCCTCTACTACCCAACATATTATGGAATACTTCAAAACAATGAAAGCTGAATAGACACTGCTACATTAGACAACATGAATGACTTGCACTAATATAATGTACAAAAGAAGTCTGACACAAAGCATATATATACTGTATGATCCCATTTATATAAAATTCCAAAACATGCAAAACTACTCTGTGATGTTAGACATCATGATAGTGGTTGTCTATTGGAAGATGGTTGGAGGTGGTTCTGGGGAAGCTTATGGCATTTACTATCTTTATCTGGGTCCTGGTTAACACAGATGGGTTAGCTTTGTGATAATTCATCTCGCTATTCACTTAGATACTTCCATTTAAAAGAAGTATATATTAAAGAAACTAATTTGAAGAATGAGAAAACCAGAGCATTGGTTTTCAGACTTCAGTGAGATTAAAGATGACCTGGATTGTAAAACTGCGGATTCCCCAGACTATCCTCAGAAATTCTGATTCAGTAGCTCTCACTCTAAGAATCTGTATTTTTAACATTTGCTCCAGGTAATTCTGATGCTCCATACTTTAAAAAATGCTGATTTAGTATCTTCAGTTTAAACTGTCTTTACTCTTTGGACAAATGTTCAAGTGTCTGTGACAGAAGTCTGTCATAGTGTTTCTCAAGTCTGAGTTTATTGGCTATCTAATTGCCAGGAGTAGCATTTCCTCACCAGCTTAACGTTTTCCAAATGTAATGACAGTTGTTAGAAATGTTTGTATTTTTTCCTACACCATGGTTTTCTTGCACTCATTGAATTCTGCAGTTTTTCAAATTTGATCAAAAGACAAAATTTTTTTTAATTTCCTATTGCATTTTTAACACTATAGACATGACTTTCCTCGGACACACAACTTTTTTTTAGATACAGTTAATTATTTCTAGCTATATTCAGCCTGTAATAATGTAAAAGAACTTGGTAAAAAACAGCTAGTCTTTATATCTGCAGAGAGATCTTAAAGTGGAAAGAAAGTAAGATCTGAAACATGTAGAGAACACTGGAAACTAAAGTTTGATAAAAGCTAATAACTAAGAGTAAAATAAGATTCATCTCTCTGAAAGCATGAGAATGGATTTGGTAAGGCATTTAGGTCTTTTCTGGCTCAGCAGCTCTAGAACATTAAGTGCAAATCATGGCTCATATAATTTATTCAGATGTTCTTCCCATTTCATAACCACCACCACCATCTGTGCCACCCCCTCATCACCACCACCCCAGTTTCCCCAGGGAGTATGGAAGTGTGGTATGAGGTGCTGAATATAAGGAAAAACCTGTTAAACTTTAAGAATCATTAAGTAGTGAGTAGGGCATATTTAATTCTTTAATCTATTAAAGGAATGGACAATGACAGATGTGGGAGTTTTCTGTAATGTTAAATTTTGAATAAATACAGCTATGATTTGAGGAATTCCCAGTACTTTAAGTGAAGGCCAATACTTTGACAACTGTAAAGCTATCACCTTTATTTCTCTCTCAACATTTAGAGATAGATGGTTTTTCCATTTAGACTGCAGAACTTAAAGTAACCTCTTTAAATTGTTCACATAAAATTTTTTTTCTCACACTTTGCCCAGCTTTAGCAGTAATAAATCATTCAGATTAAACAGTTAAGTGGTATGTACGAATTAATTTGTGAACATGGGTGTGTAATCAAAGGATCGTGGTGTCTGTTGCCTCTTCATAGAAATTTTAATTTGAAAACAGGATTGACCACAGACAACAGTAATTGTTTGCCATCAAATCATGAAAATGTTATTGGCATCCTCCAAAAGAGAGAATTATCTTTTTTAAAAGTTCACTGGCAGCACTGACTTGTTTGGAAAGTATACATTTATATGTATTTGTATATGTTTATATATATTTGCCTGTATTTGTGAAATTGTATCAATACCCATTTGTAAAATACCTAAAATACTTTTTCAACCTCTAAACCCCTTGACAGTCCCTGGAATCTGCCACCTGAAACCTTTTTACCACTTCATGACAACTTTCAGTTAGGATACCTATAATGACCTATCCTTGTATGCTGCTTTACTCTTTGGGTATATTTTCTTTATAAAAAGAAATTAGTTCCTTGATTTCCTTCTCCAGGTGTTCAAATTTTAGTCCCTATTTTGCTAAATTTCTTTGAAAAAATTACACTACTCAGTTTTTCACAATGGACAGTTACTCACAGTTTAGTATCTCTTTTCATTGTTCTAATTTATGAAAGAAAATTTAATAGACAATAAAATGTAATCTCCGTGAAGAGTAATAAGACAAATATATGAAAATTAAAGCTTGTTTTTCATAGATATTGACCTACTGGTACAAGAGTAAGACCTGCATTAGATGATGGGCTGCAAGCTTCTCCATAACCTGGTGTCCAGTAATAATGCCTTTTAAGGCCATTGGAGACTTCTGCAAGGTACACGTGTCCATCCACCACAAATGGCTCCACATCTGTATTGTCTGATTTTAGACGGCCCATGTGAATTAAATCTGAATATGCCTAGGATTTTTAAGAAAAACTGTATCATTAAGAAAATAGTTTATTCATTTTACAGTGCTTAAACAAATATCAACATTCAAATTAGATGTGATAATTTATAGTTTAAAATATTCTGTGTAACACTGCTGAATTTTAGTATTTTCCAGGCATTGTAGTTTTTATTAATTCCACACAATGTAATTACAATCTTGCAAAACTTATTTCTACATTTTAACGTTATTAGGCATGTTTTGTTGTTTCATGACTCCCAGAGATAACAATTCTATGTATTACCAATTTTGTGGACCAAAGGTCTCATGGTCAAAATTTTCAAGTCCTAAGGTGACTGAGTCATAAATAAGGATGGAGTGCTGTTGTATATGCCCTTGAAGATCCGATGACAGCCAGGGATCCATTTTTCAGAAAAATAAACAATCACAGATTTTGGCATACAACTGTATGGAGTTCATGGACCCCCTGAAGATAATCTACAGATTTAGGCTTAGACTAGAGACCATTCCCATAGTATGAGATGCTGGCCCGGCTGGCCACTAATTATTTCTTCATTGTAGAATTTTCTTTGTATATCTCTTATGGATCATTGATATCTACATAAAAGTGTCGTACAAACATGTTAAACTAGTTTGTCAGTAAGGTTGCGATTATAGAGAAAGGCAGAAATTAGACAGTAAAAGATTCAAAAGTCTAGTTGCTTTCTGCTGTAGCTTGTCATTAGTAGTTCCAACTCAGCCTCTAGTGTATAGAATGTGGATATGATGTTTTTCTGAAATCAAGGGTTTTTTTTTCTTTTTTCTTTTTTTTTTTTTTTTTTGGTACACGGGCCTCTCACTGTTGTGGCCTCTCCCGTTGCGGAGCACAGGCTCTGGACGCACAGGCTCAGTGGCCATGGCTCACGGGCCCAGCTGCTCCGCGGTCTGTGGGATCTTCCCGGACCGGGGCACGAACCCGTGTCCCCTGCATTGGCAGGTGGACTTTCAACCACTGTGCCACCAGGGAAGCCCAAGGATTTTTTTTTTTAATAGTGTACATTTTATTAGCCTTTTTAGTGATAGAATTCTGGTTAGTCTTTTGGCAATTTTTGAGAATTCTAACATATATATATATATATTTTTGGCTGTCTTGGGTCTTTGTTGCTGCGCATGGGCTCAGTAGTTGTGGCTCACCGGCTCTAGAGCGCACGGGCTCAGTACCTGTGGCACACGGGCTTAGCTACTCCGCGACATGTGGGATCTTCCCGGACCAGGGCTTGAACCCATGTCCTCTGCAGTGGCAGGTGGACCCTTAACCACTGTGCCACCAGGGAAGTCCCCTAACATCTTGTTTTTCTTTCTCTTCTTTCCAAATGAAAACTATTTGTTACTATGCTTTTTGTGTGTGTTGAAAGCAGTATCAAGGGTTCTCTGTATTTACATAAGCAACACACCAAATATTTTGACAGCTTTTACTATATCTCTCTAAATTCTGTGTCTTGGTTTAATTATTGGGTAGCAGATTGGAGATTGTGCCACAGCAAATTTAAAATAAATCAACAATTGTGATTTAAAAAAACTTAACTTTGGAGAAATTGGGACTGTGTAATTCAGTGATCTTTATACTAATATGTAGTATTTGATATCTTTTCCTATTTCAACCACAAAACTTTCCAGTAGCTAATTTTTAGGACTTAACATTAAAATTTATCAAAACTGCAGTGTCTCGTTATACTTTGTAATCATGTCTAAGGCATCTGTATATAACATCTGACGTTATAGGGAAAACCCCAGAAAAAGCCTCAGTGAAGAAAAAAACTTACCACACATGTAGCTTCATCAAATTTGTTTCCCCAAATGTAGATATTAGAGAGTGTGGGATTTGTTTTCATTGATTGTGAAAGTGCAACAAGTCCTTCTCCCTCTATGTTGTTGCTTACCACTGACAACCTTTGGAAAACCAAAAAGTAATAACCCTGGAAACCAACAGTTCCACAAAGAGAATGCATAAGCTAGCAACAGCATTTATTACACACATTTTTTTGTGTTAAGTCTTAGCATTAAGTACATTTAATGTATAATCAAAATATTGACCTAATAATTCCTAAAATCCAAGAAACTTAGTTTTCTAATTGGATACTTCATGTACCTAAGTAGAGCTACCTACATTTTGGAAATAAACAGCCTATTGTTTTCTATTTATTATTCAGTAAAGGTTTGGGGTGGATTACAGATATATTTTTCAAGATAAAGTCATCCAAGTAATATTTTCTTTGATTCATTCTTATTTTAGAGTCTTGACCATATTGAATGATTATAATTTTTCTGTTAGAATTCAGGATAAAATAATAAGAGTTTTCTCATTAATTTTAAGCAGTCATAGCTAGAATCAATTTTTAAAAGATTACTTTTGAAAAATAGAAGAAATTGAAATGTTTCCTATAACTTAATATGTCAATTTAGAAACTGAGTTTTCATATTTCACCATGAATCTTAAGAGGTAAGAGGTTTAAGGTTAATATTCTAAAAAATTTAAGGTTTTCTTTGTTATTTTGGTTAAATATAAAACCATACTAACGCTTTAAGAGTCCTGTTGTGTGAAGCAAGAGTGTCACTGAGATAGTTTGCTCCTGCATTTTCTATTCTGTTAAAAGAAAGATCTATTACTTCCAGGGTAGTATTCTTTTTCAGTACATCGGCCAAACACACCATTCCATCCTGAGTTATTTTATTGCTGGGAAAGGAAAAATATGTAGTTATATTTGGAAATATGAAGTATTCTTTTATTCATAGAGATAGCATGCTTGAAAACTTATATAGTAATAAGTACTTTCTATTTTAGTTAAGATTTACTTTAATCACTCAATTTCCAAAAAGTTAATAAAAAGTTGCCATAAAATGTTGCTTCTATTCTGGTTTACATATTTAAATTGCTCTCAAGTTATTATATCGGTATAAGCCGAATAAATACTAAGGCTCAAGATAAAAAGTTGACAACAATGGTTGCATTTTCTAATTTTTGGAATTAGTGTCTAACAAAGAATCTTATCTACAGTGAATATTTACAGAGATTATTCCCATGATTTAACTCCTGCATTAATATATAAGTTATCACTTACCAGCTTACATCAAGGTAGCGCAGGCTTCTGTTCAGATACAGTGCATCACATAACTGTTTCATACCACAGTTTTTTATGTCATGCTTACACACATGTAGTTCAACAAGGCACTGATTTTCTTTCAACATGTGGCCTAGATGAACTGTGGACTCTTCCTAAAAATAGATAGTCTTTTTTCTAGAATATAATTTTGAAGCAGTACATGTTTATTCCAAACATGCAAAGTTATTTAAATTAGCTTTTTAAAAAGATTTTATCAGTTAAGACTATTATTAGTCTACGATTTGCAATTTGTTTGGCATGGCTTTTTAAAAAAATCATTTTGCCACAAATATCTTTACTGTCTTAGAAACAGGCAGCAGGCACTTGTAAAGTGCAGTGACTAAGTGATTTAAGAGATGCTGGTTAAAAAAAATCATTACTAAAAAAGCAACAATCATCTCAGCAGGAAAGATAAATCAAAATAATTGGTCCCATGATTGAGCATGAGGGAATTCCCTGGTGGTCCAGTGGTTAGGACTTGGAGCTTTCACTGCTGGAACTCAGGTTCAATCCCTGGTCAGGGAACTGAGATCCCACAAGCTGCATGGTGTGGCCAAAAAAAAAAAAAAAAAATTGAGCATGAAAGCTCCTTTACTAGCTGTCCTCTCAAGACAAGGTGTTCTTGCCCCTTACAGATGTTTCTAAACTTTGCTCTTGATCTCCACTCTTTGTAGTTTTTAGACTCCCTCCCTCCCTCCCTTCTTCCCTCCCTCTGCTGCTTCCAGGCAAAAGGTATATAACCTCAGTGAGGATCTGAACACCAAGCACTTTAAATTTTTAACAGAATCAGAGCATGTCCTGATGCATTATTGCTGTTTTTATAAGTTTTATAGTCACTGGAAATGCTGATCATGGATAGCCATATATGCTCAAATTATCTAAAAGTACTTTGAGAAAAAATAAAAGTTAAATAAAATCATATAGCAATAGCAGATTGTACATGAGCTTTATAATAAAACTGTCCAAATGCTAGCTTTACCTTGTACTAACTTTATCACTTTGGGCTAATTATTTCATCTAGCTGAGTCCCAGTTCCCTTTTCTATATAAAATAGGTAAAATTTTACTTCCCTCACAGAAGTAAATAAATTAACAGAAGTACCTGGCACAAAATTGGTGTTCTATAGAAAACCACAAAGCATTTATTATTGTTCAATATTCTATAATACGGTATCTGATTTAAGTTATTGCTTTGACACTGAAAATACATATCCAGAGGGAAGCTGTAGTCTGAAATCTTAAATGAAAACTGACCACTTACGAGGTCCAGTATTGCTCTGCATAGTGCTGGAGCAGAGGACATAATACAGATATGATGTATGTGTTGACTGCGTTTTTAGGTCAAGAAATTTGAAAGAGGGACCATCCTTATTAAGAAAGGGAACTAGTATCACAAATAGTAAAGGGTTTTTGTTTTTTGGTGTTTTTTTATAGCTCCACTCAGTTTGTGGCTTAGTTTGGCCTAGGGTGGCACCTAGCATCAGCGTTTTTCTAAGCTCCCCGGATAATGAACAGTAAAACCCTTAAATGAAATAGGTTTGCTGGCTTGTATCTGGGAACAGCAGGTATGAGGAAGCACAAGAGGATTCTACTCCACAACCATTTAAGAGAATAGTACTGTGAGGGACAGAAGGTGGTGGCTGCCTTGGAGAGGAATAGAAAGCAGGCTAGTTTAGCTGACTGCCCAGAAGCACCAGGCTAAGAGCAAGGTCCGGGGCCTGAGAAAGAGCCCTGGGCTTTTTTTTTTTTTTGGCTGTGTTGGGTCTTTGTTGCTGTGCGCACGCGGGCTTTCTCTAGTGGGGGCCCTGGGCTTTCAGTAACTATTCTCAGATGGATTTAGGAGTAATGACACCACTCAGCATTTAAAAGAGAAATTGTGCTTCTAATATAATTTCATATAGTTTAACAAACTTCCTCAGGGCTTTAATCCGGAAAAGTTTGACTCAGCCTTCATATCTCTTAACATGTCCTCAATCTGAGAAGCTTCCCTGCCACCTCTCATCCCCCTGCATTGATTTATATGTCTTTTCTCCTGCTCCCAAGGCACCCTGAGCATATCACTCTCCAGACTTGTGGATCTCCCTCCATGTGGACTGAAAAAAAGCTCTTTGAAAATGAGGGCTATGTGCTTTGACATTATCCCTGGCACCAGCATTGTTTCTTGTTTAGGGTTGCATTCAAATATTTACTGAGTGAAGAATGAGAAATGAAGCAGTCTACTGAATGCTTACTTTGAGCCAGGTATTTTGCTGGTCTTTAAAGCAGCTTCTTCTATTTGAGGATTCTGGTTGTCTTTTTGAGATTAAATTTGTAAACGTGAAGCAATTAACATGATGTAAAATTCCAAAATTTTTCGTACAGGCAAGTACAGAGATAATTCAAAGGGAGAGATCTATGTAGACAACGAATGCAAAATATACTTACAAATATGAAAAATATTTTAAAAATATGGTTAATTCTCAATTACTCATACTAATGGGGAACAGTGAAGTAGCTGATTTAAAGACCAAAGTCCTTGAACTTTTTCTTTTAGTAGATATTCTGTTTTTGTTTAGACCAATAGTAAAATGAGTTCTTATTCCCTAGCATTTTGCTTATAGGAGAGCCACCTAAAAGAGTGTTAAGGGGCAAGGAGAAGCCTTGAGAGTGGGAACCATGTTTTTACCGTCTTTCTGTCTCTAGCGTGCAGCTTACCTGAAGCACCAAGTCCAGACCTCCCAGACTGCTATTCATATGCAATTTGCCGTTATAGCTCAGGATTTCAAATGAAATGGTTCATCACATCAGTGTAACAAGAGCAAACAAATCACAAAACAGTTCACACTGGGCTCTTATAATCCTCCAGCCTTTAAAACTTTCATCATTTGTGCTTTCATCTTAAGCCCTCTGCCCCTCACAGGTTTACTCACTGAGAATGAGTTTATAAGAAAAATAGATGACATGTTTTCTGTTTAAATAAGCAACATCTAAAACCATATTTATAAAACTCTTACCAAGATTTTAAATTTTCAAGTTTTTCTTTGTAAACAGTAGTTTACAGTTCTAAAAATACAATGCATTCATGAATCTTGACATAACCCTCAGTAAGTAGTGCCTTCGTTTTATTCACATGTAGCCTTATTAACTGCTCACTTTGAATACATACCTGTTCACCGTAAAGTATAGGTCGGCTTAGGTTTAATCCCTTAATTGTTTGGTTTTGAGTTAGGACTGTAGCGAATGCTATCACACTCTGCATTCCCTAAAAACAGATAAATTCATTAAGGAAACTGACAAAGTATATAAATTAACCCCTAATATTTCAAGATCAGTAATCTGGATTCTGACCAATCAAAATCGTGTTTTTAAAAAGTTTAAGTAACTTCCTGATCCTTCAATTGTAGGTTGATCAAATTCAGAAATGAATTGTTACTGTGTTATTTTCTTTCTGCCCTAAAATCTGTAACATACATGGGGAGCTTCTTAAGGTTTCAGTATCCATTTCATCCGGTGTTTACCTCTAGGTTTGCTCCTAACCCCTCAAGGTTCTATATGATGCACAGAAATACAGACATACAAGTGGATCCCAGCTAGGGCTCTATACTACTTATAGTGTATATCCTTAATGCAAGCTTTCTTTTACATTCATACTAGTACTTTAAGTGTGTGTTTGTGGCAGGAAAGGGTTACTAATCACATTTTTTCACTGCTGCCACAGGCCTCGCTCTACCTTATTGGAAGGGCCTAGTCCTCCGCCATCTCTGTGATGCACACACACCTAGTTGTTATGCCAGAAAACCTGGGCTTTCTTCCACTTCACCAGTCAGTCCTCTTACTCTCCTATCAGTTGATCAGCAAGTCTTACAGCTTCTGCCTCCAAAAGATGTTTCAAATTAGTCCATCTCTGTAGCTACCACCCCAACGCCAGTCCTCATCACCCACCTGAATTACTGCAGAAACTGCCTAAGTGGTCACTGGGCTTCCTCTCACCACCCTCTAATTCCCCACAGAGAGACAAGAGTGATCGTTTACAAGCACCAATCATATCATGTCACCCCTCAACTTAAAGCCTTTCCATAATTTGCATTTAACTCCCTTTGTGTAGCTACTCTGGCTTTTTAGTTCTCAGACTCAGTATTTCATCATTCATGTACTCCCCTCATGATTTTTGCCATCTCTGAGTATCAGTTTTACTCTTTACCTAATACTTTTCCATTAAATCAACTCACTTTTCACTTATATTTATTTTAAAACTGTTTCACTACCATAAATTGAAAGCCACAGTCCCTTGAAATAAATAGAAAGCATTTGTAAAAATAAATATGTATTAAAATTACCTCAAATTATGTCAGTCAGTATGCTACCCATACCACACTTGGGGAAGCACTATCTTAGAGTCTGTGGGTTCTGGAACCCCTGCCTGGAATGTTCTGCTATGGACCCTCTTCAAGGGAGCTCTTTCTCATCCTTCACGACTACTAAGTATGACCTCCTCAGGTCTTCGGGGAACCATCCTATCATGCATATTTCTGCCCATTATCAGAGTACTTTGCCAACTTTGTAGCACTTTTCTCTAATTTATTGACGTTTTCCTAACTAAAATATAACCTTTATAAGGGCAGAGACCATACCTGATGCATTCCTGTATCCTTAGAACCTAGAATTGTGACTGGTATGTGTAGACAATACACAGTTGACCCTTAAAGGGTCAAGGATCAACTGTGTACCTTGGTATCCATGGATTCAAACAACCTTGAATCCTGTAGCAACTGTAGTATTTACTATTGAAAAAAATCTGCATATAACTGGACCCCAGCAGTTCAACCCATGTTATCAAGAGTCAACTGTGTATTGAATTAATGCTTTCCCAAGACCATACTGGCTGCATCTACCCGCTTCTTAAGCTTTAGAGCCTATTACCCCAAAGAGCCTCCTTGGCCCATCTTACTGTTTTCCTGTCCCAGTAATTTTGCATTAACCTATTAACAATAGGTTCCTAACAGTAGGCCTGAAGGTTTGAAGGCGTGTTTGAGAAAATGAAGCCTAGAATTTGAAGACATGCAAAACAGACAAACTTCTCATTATCAGTCCAGATGAAGGCTCAGAGCAGCTCTTAGCATCATCTTAGGTTTTAAGCTATAACATAACTACTCACTGCAAGATGTTTCCATAAGTAAAAAATTTATATTATACAAATGAAGTAGTATTTGTTTAATTAAAAGGAACATAATCATCATCTTTAGAAAATCCCATACAAGTTAAGAGGGGTAACAGATGGAAGTTTAGGAAGATTTTTATTACACTGGATATTCTTCCATAATATTATTATAATCTGATTCTTATTTAAAAAAATATTTTCTCTGATATTAGACCTTAGAGACAAGCTTAATCATTCATAAGACTGTCATTTAGCTGGTCTCTGACACTTCTCTATGCTAGTTTCCAGGGAGAATGATCCAATATCTGAGTGACTATCTCATACCCAATTTTACTCACCAGATCACAGTCACCCAGATCTAATTTCTCTAAGGATGAATTAATTTGTAGCACTGCAGCAAAAAACATTCCACCCTTATTTTCAATCTTGTTTCCAGTCATTCTTAGGTGTTTCAGAGTTGTATTCTTCTGAAAAGGAAAAGAGGCAAAACTTGGTTAAAATTTTAACCCACAGAACTCTCTTTAGATTACATGAGTTAGGAGACTGTATTACTATTTGCAGACTCATCAGGTTTTCATGGAGATAGAACAGGATATATTCCTTCAAGGTCACATTCAATTTCCCACAACAGATAAAAATCTAGTTTAATAGTTTAGTAGAAAGAATGCCCAGGAAATAGATACCAAAATAATGACCAGTGAATGAAGCAGATTTTAATAACTTTCCTTTCATTAGAAATTCTATAAATTTATCTTCTAAGAAAATTATACCACCTTTTAAAATTGAGATGAAATTCACATAACACAAAATTAACCATTTTGAAATGGACAATTTGGGACTTCCCTGGCGGTCCAGTGGTTAGGACTCCATGCTCTCGCTGCCGAGAGCCTGGGATCAATCCCTGGTTGGGGAGCTAAGATCCCGCAAGCAGCATGGTGCAGAAAAAAAAAATAAGCAAGAAAATGTACAATTCACTGGATTTTACTACATTCGCAGTGCTGTGTAGCCATCACCTCTAGCTAATTCCAAAACATTTTTACAGGACACCCTGTACCCATTAAGCAATCACTTCACATTCCCCCGTATCATTTTGAAAGTGATACAATTTCTCAGACATTTGCAAAGTTTAATTCCTTCTCTTATTTCATTTCTTTTGATAAATCTTTCACAAAATTACAGACATTTCATTGTCCTAGTGAATAAATATTTGGACATACAAGTGTAAATAATTAACTTTAAAATTAAGTCAAACCCCTTTAAGAGTGGGAAGAAGGCAAGGATGTCCACTCTCACCACTTCTATTTGACATTGTACTGAAGGGTCTAGATAGGACAATTAGGCAAGAAAAAGAAACAAAAAAGGCATCCAGGTTGGAAAAGAAGTAAAACTCTTGTTTGCATACGACATGATCTTATATGTGGAAAATTCTAAGGCATCCACCAAAAACACCCAAAACAAAACAAAACAAAAGCCGTTAGAAATAATAAATGGGGAATTCCCTGGCAGTCCAGTGGTTAGGGCTCCGTGTTCTCACCGCTGAGGGCCCAGGTTCAATCCCTGGTCAGGGAACTAAAATCCCACAAGCCGGCCAAAAAAAAAAAGAAGAACTAATAAATGAGTTCAGCAAGACTGCAGGACACAAGATCAATATACAGAAATAACTGTATTTCCATACACTAGCAATGAACAATTCAAAAATGAAATTAAGAAAATTCCATTTATAATAACATCAAAAAGAATAAAACATTAGGAATAAATTTAACAAAAGGGTAAGACTTGCACATTGAAAACTACAAAGCATCAAAGCATGGTTGAAAGAAATTAAAAACAACCTAAACAGGGACTTCCCTGGCAGTCCAGTGGTTAAGACTCCGAACTTCCACTGCAAGACGCATGGGTTCAATCCCTGGTCCGGGAACTAAGATCCCACACGTTGTGCAATGTGGCCAAAAATAAGTAAATATTAAAAAAGTAAAAAACTAAAATAAAAACAACCTAAGTAAATGGAAACACATCCCATGTTCCTGGATCAGAAGACTTAATATTAAGATGGCAATATTCCCCAAATTGATCTAAATATTTAAAGCAATCCCTCTCAAAATCCCAGTTGCATTTTTTGCAGAAATTGATAAACTGATCTTAAAATTCATGTGGAAATGCAAGGGACCCAGAAGAACCAACACAATCTTGAATAAAACAAAGAGGACTCACTTCTTGACTTTAAAACTTACTACAAAACTACAGTAGTCGAGATATTGTGAGACTGGCCTAAGGATAGACATATAGGTTAAAAGAATAGAATGGAGAGTACAGAAATAAACCCTCACATTTATAATCAACTGACTTTCAACAAGGATGTCAAAATTAATGGGGAAAGAACAGCCTTAACAAAAGGTGTTGGGTCAAATGGATATCCACATGAAAAAGAATGAAATTAGACTCCTACTTCACATCATATATAAAAATTAACTCAAAATGTATCAGAGAACTAAAAGAGCCAAATCAAAAAGCTGTTAAAAGAAAACGTAAGTGTAAATCTTCATGACTTTGGATTAGGCAAAGTCATGAAGTTGTAGCCTTCTTAGGTACATCACCAAAAGCCCAAAACAACAAAAGAAAAAATAGATCAAATGAATTTTATCAAAATTAAAAAATTTTGTGCTTCAAAAGACACCACTAAGGAAGTTAAAGGCAACCTACAGAATGTGCGAAAATATTTGCAAATCACATATCTAATAAGGGGCTCCAGAAAGGGCAAAAGATTTGAACAGATAGTTCTCTAAAGAAGATATACAAATGACTAATTAGCATATAAAAAGATACTCAACATCTTTATTCATTAGGGAAATGCAAATCAAAACTACAAAACCTCTTCATACCCACTAGGATAGCTCAAATCAAAGAGACAATAGGGCTTCCCTGGTGACCCAGTGGTTGGGAGTCTGCCTGCTGATGCAGGGGACACGGGTTCGTGCCCTGGTCCGGGAGGATCCCACACCGCCGCAGAGCCGCTGGGCCCCTGAGCCTTGGCCGCTGAGCCTGCACGTCCGGAGCCTGTGCTCCGCAACGGGAGAGGCCACAACAGTGAGAGGCCCGCGTACCGCAAAAAAAAAGAAGACAATAACAAGTACTGGTGAGGATATGGAGAAATCAGAACACCCATACATTGTTGGTGGAATTGTAAAAAGGGACAGCCACTTTGGAAAACAGTTTGGCAGTCACTCAAAATGTTAAAAAGAGTTTCCAAATGAACCATTTCAATCCTAGGTATGTACCCTAGAAAACTGAAAACATACATGCACAGAAAAATGTGTGCAAATGTTCATAGCAGCATTATACATTATAGACAAAAAGTGGAAACCCAAATGTCCATTAACTAATGGATGAACAAATGTGATATTTCCAAACAATGGAATATTACTTGGCAATAAAAAGAAATGAAGCATGTTACAACATGGATAAAATCTGAAAGCATTAGGCCAGTCACTAAAGGCCACAAACTGTACGATTCCATTTATAAGTGGCCAGAATCGGCAATCTACAGGTAGAAAGTAGATGTGACTGCCAGGTGCTGGAGAGTGAGAGAGAGAAGCACAGAGAGGGATTACGAACGGGTACAGGGCTTCTTTTTTGGGGGAAAATGCTCTAAAAACAGTGATGGTGCTGATGGTCACATAACTGTGAATATAACCGACTGTTGAACAACACAGGGGTTAGGGGCGACAACCCTCTGTGCAGTTGAAAATGAGTTTAACTTTACATTTGGCCATCTGTATCCGAGGTCCTGCATCCTCAGATTCAACTGACAGTGGATTGTGTGGTACTGCAGCATGTATTTAGTGAAAGAAATCTACATATGAGTGGACCCACCCATACAGTTCAAACCTGTGCTGTTCAAGGGTCCACTGCATTCAATATACTAAAAAAACACTGAATTGAACACTTACAAAGGGTAAATTTTGTATACGTGAATTATATCTTAATAAAGCTCTTTGTTTTTTTATTCTCTATTTTTTTAACTGAAGTATAGTTGATTTACAATGTTGTGCTAATTTCTGCTGTACAGCAAAGTGACTCAGTTATACACATATATACATTCTTTTTTTATATTTTCCATTACGGTTTATCCATAAAGCTGTTTATTTTTAAAAATGAGTTCAAAAGTGCTCATGTAATGTCCAGATTTTAATAAATTGAAGTGAAATAAAAAATATACATTCGCACAATATTAAAATAAGTTGACATTAACATTTGTTTCTGTTGGTTCCAAGCTAAAACTAAAGAAGTTAAAATTCCCAAATAAAATGTTAGTTTGAGGTATACGAATGCTTACATGTAGTGCTTTAGCAATCAGTTCTCCACCTTCGGGCCCAATGTCATTAAACATAAGGTTTAAGTAAATGAGATTATGTTGTTCCTAAAATAAGGAGAGAAAAGAAGCTATTACATATATATTATTAGAAATCGATAATATGTAAGAGCTGCTTTTTAAGTAAAAGTGTTTACCTCCAAAAAAAATCTTTATAACCAGGAAATTTCAAGGTCCAGCAAAAGAAAGGACCATTAAGGGAAAAAATCAACATGATCATTTAAACAAATATGATGGCAGTGTAAAGAAAAGAACTATATTCATTTTTGATCAATGATTCAAAGTATGGATGTGCTTTATGTACTTAACCGTGGTGTATGAGTTTGCAAAAGATGACTCAGGAGGCTCTGGGTACCAGCTCTACTGAGACCAAATACACAAATGGGTTTTTAGTATATTTCAAATGTTATAAATATGGCACAGAGTCAGGACACTTGACATTTTGCAAAACTAGTGTTTTGTGTGTGTGTCATTAGACTAGGTGATTTCACCGTAAACAGAACTAAGAATATTTTGATGACGATGCTTTTGCAGCATTTTTATTTGTGGTTGATGAAAATAACTTGGTTACTTCACTTTTTTTTTTTTTTTTTAATCTTCACTCTGTCCTTACATTGTGTGCCATTTCATGGACGTGAGAATTTTAAGTTCATTTTAAGCTCATTAGAAGCACTTGTAGCAGATGAGAAAGGAACAAATAGGAAATTAAAAAGCCAATTTAAGGGAAGGATGAAAAATGATATATGCTGCTTTAAACATTTTATTTTAACTGAAAATACAGACATACATACGTATGTGCCAATCTTCTGAGGTTGAAACAAAGCCTTTTCTTTAACGACACCTATTCTGATTGGTGGACCACACTGTCTTTCGTAAATAAAATGCAACCATAAAACAGCATTTCAGCTTGGGTATCTCCAAAGTGAAGTCTGCAATAAAGGGTTAGCTTAGCAGGCTAGGGGTGCTGAAACCCTGCACATTCCAAAGAAAGGGCTGGTTCTTAACTGGGTCCTGGGAGAAAAAAAAAATTAACCAAGAACATTTTGTAGTAAAATAATACCTGAAGCAGTTCTGTAGCATAGGATGCACCAACATCACCTATGAGGTTATATTTAACATCCAAACCTGAAGAACACAGATGAATAGAAGCTGATATTCCTTCTAGTGAACACTTAAAATCAGGAAAATGAAAGCTGGAAGGAATGATTCTCAAGGAGACATACCATTAATATATGGATTATTCTTTAAAATTCTGCAAAGAATCCAAAAATCTTCACCTGTTACTCTTTCTACTGGCATTAAGTGACAGTTACCAGCAACATTTAATGTGATTCCTGCCAATCTGTTAAAATATAAAAAAGAAATCCAGTAAAGAAATAAAAGTATTTTTCCTTCATGTTTAGTAACATCATGGATAGAATATACTGGAACCAAGTATGTACCACAATACAGATTTATATCAAGTAACTTAAAACTACTGAATATGCTACAGCTTTTGCAAAGCACCTTAATATATGCATAGTTTAGGGCTTCCCTGGTGGCGCAGTGGGTGAGAGTCCGCCTGCCGATGGAGGGGACGCGGGTTCGTGCCCCAGTCTGGGAAGATCCCACATGCCGTGGAGCGGCTGGGCCCGTGAGCCATGGCCGCTGAGCCTGCATGTATATATATATACATATGTGTGTATATATATATATATATATATATATATATGCATAGTTTAATTTCTCAACCACAAGAAAACCAAAGTATTCCCACTTGACAGATAATGACATTGAAGACTTCAATGATTTGCATAAGTAAACCCAGCTCACAGGAGTTAAGGACAAATCTGGAACTCAGTAAACTCCACCACCTCCAAGACCTAACTATGTCAATCATCTGTGCTGAATCAAAAAGTATGTCCACTTTATCAAGCATTTGCAAATGGCTTTCAAATCACTCAGTGTTCCAGTATTTTCACACAGATGAATATCAGTGAATGTTACTGATGTAATCAAGTATTTGTCTTCCTTACCCCTGTTCAATTTCTTCATCCACTTCTTGGAGTATATGCAATATAAAAGGTTTAATTTCCTGGGACTTTTCCATACATAGCTCATAATAATATTCCTGTAGACCACCAATAGGTTCTGCAGCTTCTGAAAAATAAATGCGTTACCCTTCATCACATATACATTATCCCAGGAGCTTCCCCCCTGCCAAAAAAAAATTAGACTTCTTTCAAAGATACAAATGTGTGCGTATAGAGTTGAGGGCAGGGTGAAGAAAAGGAGATGACGTTAAGAATACAGAAAGGGAAGAAAAATAAGAAGGAATGGGAGAGAAGAAAAATGCTGTTTGGAGAACTAGGGCCAGAGAAGTACCCACTGAGGGTGGGCAGACACTAACTTCGAAGTGACACAAAGGGAGAACTAAGCTCTATTATGTAACAGGCCTGGCAGCTGAGGAAAATGATGTCCAGAGAAATTACGTATTTTGCCTAAAATCATACAGATAAATAAGGGCAGAGTACAGAATCATACTGACTCCAGTCTCTTCCTACTCTGCTATAATGGGTTAGGGTGACTCAAGGTTGCTTATCATGGCTTCAAACAAAGACAATTCTATCACAGAGTCTAAACTCAAAAGGGATCTGAAAAATCACCAAGTCCAATAGGCTTCTTGGAGACCCTCTATACAATGCACGTTGATGGCATTTGAATACAGCTCTGTCTGTGCTTCCTAACACCAAGTTGAGGCCTAGCTCACAGAAGCACTTCACCTACCCAGGCCTTCCATTTCCTCTTTCTAAAGGTGATTTTCCCTGTCCAGTCCTTAGTAAGGAAGACAGAAACAAAACAGGAGTTAAGAACTTGTTCCTCTGTTATACCTGCACTTTTCCTTAATGGTCTTATTATTTTCGATATTACTTTTTTAAAAATTTTTATTGGAGTCTAGTTGATTTACAATGTTGTGTTGGTTTCAGGTGTACAGCAAAGTGAATCAGTTATACATATACATATATCCACTCTTTTTAAGATTCTTTTCCCATATAGGTTATTACAGAGTATTGAGTAGAGTTCCCTGTGCTATACAGTAGGTCCTTATTAGTTATCCATTTTATATACAGTAATGTGTATATATCAATCCCAGTCTTCCAATTTATCCCTCCCCCCTCCCCTTCGCTATTACTTTAAAAGCATCCTTTTTGAGGCCCAGGCCTTCTTGGGTGGAAGGTATGCTGACACTTTTCTTAGAAGCACGCACCACTGTCTGTATTTTCTGTCCTACCTTTTGGGTATGTCTCTCTAAGAGTCCATGCTCAGAGATATCACTACTCAATCAGCCTGAGGTCTTTAGGATCCAGCTTCTCTAAGTCTCTACATCTCAAAGATCTTATTTGCTGAGTGGATTTCTGCACTATATGAACTAAAGAGTTTGCTCAACAAATATGCAAAACAAGATTTAAGATGAGGAACATCATAGTACAAGTGTAAGCAAATAAACTTTTCTTGTAGTTTTTTAAAATAAACTTTTAAAAAATAAATTCAGGGGACTTCCCTGGTGGTCCAGTAGTTAGGACTCTGTGCTTTCACTGCACTGCAATGCAGCCCAAATAAATAAATAAATAAATTTAACCCACACTATTTCAGATAACTTGGAAATTTCAATATCAAAAAGAAAATAAAGAAAAAAGAAAAGAAAAGAAACATTCATCAGCAATCCCACTACCAAAGAACCACCACAACTGAGGTCTGGGGCTATTTCTTCCCTATTATTTATCTTTTTCTATATCCTTTTTTTCTTAAGTTAACATTGTGAGCAGCTTTCCCATATCATTAGATATTCTCTGAAAATTTTTAATATCAGCATAATTTCTGTCTTGTGGACAGATGTACATAAGAAATCTTTCACTTACCAGATATAAAACAGATAAACAACAAGGACCTACTATATAGCACAGGGAACTATATTCAGTATCTTGTAATAGCCTATAATGGAAAAGAATGTGAAGAAGAATATACTTATATATACGTATGTATAACTGAATCACTGTGCTATACACCTGAAACTAACACAACATTGTAAATCAACTACAATTAAAAAAAATTTTTTTAAAGAAATCTTTCACTTACTTTAGGAAATTTTCATGTATTTAAATAATACTTTAGCACAATATTTCCCAAATTGTGTTTTGTGGAATACTAATCTACAAGATGCTCCAAATAGAATAGGTTTTACTGTCAAATAAGTTTGGGAAATGATGAATTGAACAATGCTAAACAGATTCCTATCTACAACACTTCTCAGGACATTTAAAACTCTCAGGTGCTCAAAGATTCCTCAGATTGTTGAGCCTGGCGGGGAGGGAGGTTAAAAGTGCTCCCAGACTTAGGACTTTCGTGACCATGGTTAACATGGAATGCAATCCAAAAAATGCTAGTTTAGCGTCCTCAACAGAAAACAAAGCAAGTAGATCTCAAACGGATTTACTTCCTGGAGCTAGGCTCCCACTGGGTTTCTTTCCTCTCTTCTGGCTACTACTTTCCTCGGTATTAAAAATGTTAAACAAGGGGCTTCCCTGGTGGCGCAGTGGTTGAGAGTCCGCCTGCCGATGCAGGGGACAGGGGTTCGTGCCCCGGTCCGGGAAGATCCCACATGCTGCGGAGCGGCTGGGCCCGTGAGCCATGGCTGTTGAGCCTGCACGTCCAGAGCCTGTGCTCCGCAACGGGAGAGGCTACAACAGTGAGAGGCCCGCGTACCGCAAAAAAAAAAAAAAAAATGTTAAACAAAATTTCAGAAATAGAGACCTGATTGAAATAAAGACGTGTTTATTTGGGGTTTGTTAGGACTGCAACCCAGGAGACACAGATCCAAGAAGCACTTGAACTGTGTTCCACCAGACTACAAAATGGTGGGGGCTTATAAATGCAACCACAAGGTTACATAAATTGTTTGTCAAGAATTAGGATTGGAGCTGGCAAGAAGTAAGCTTGCTTGGTAAGCAAGGACTGGTTAGGAGTCTGAAACAATTACAAAATTGCAAAGGTGGGGGTAATTTGAAACTACAAGGTTGCAACTAGCAGCTGCTAGCAGATTCTGTTTTGAAAACAGCTGGTAGTGTCCTTGAGTCTGATACAGTTTAGAGAAAATTCAAGTTCTCAGTGATGAAGGAATGCATCTGAAATCATATCCACAACGGCCACTTGGCTCCATTTTGCATGCCCGTACCACAGTTACTCCATTTTGATTTTTAAACGGTCTTAAGTACATCATCAAAGAGAAGAGAGGATTGCCCTGAGAATTTCTCTGACGTTCATTCTGCCTGCCCTCAGCTGGCACAACCGTATCCAGGATGTGCAGACAGACAGACTTACAGGTCATGTTTTTGTGAAGACATGAAGGAATCTTAGATTACAAGCTAAATATAGCTAAAGAAATTTACAAGAATATTTGTATTTAATTACCTGGCCATGGATGTAGATTATTTTAAAGCTTCAGCTATATCTTTCTGCTACTCTCTCTTTTATTTAAAATTCACCTAAGTATTGTATGTCAGGATTCTATGGCACCAATAATTTATTTCCTATAGTGTATTCATATTAGGAGAAAATAATAAACCAGTCTGCAAAGTGTAAAGCAAAACCTAGGAATAACCAATTACACAAAATGTCAAGACTCTAACCTAGATTTCATTTTTAATCCACACCGGAGTCTTGAATTCCAAATAATTTTTACTTAACAGCCTGTTTAAAAAATTCTAGTTAAGGGCTCATTTTGGAGGTGGTTCCCAATGCCCTCCTATACTGGAACAGCCAAGTACTGGGAAATCCAAGGGTTGAGGGTGTCATACTTGGGTGCCTATCCAGAACGTCTGTGTGGCGCTGAACAAGTTACTTAAATTCTTCGATCTTAAATTTCCTCTTATGCTAAAAGCAGAGTATATCAATGCTCATCTCATGGTGCTTTGAGGAATACAAAGGCTTCTGGCACAATTCCATATCTACAACAAGTGTCCAAGATGGAAATGGTGGAGGGAGAGGGCGTTCACACTATACCTAACTTGCTACCGGATAATTCATGGGTGCAGAAATACTTAAAACCGAGCTGGCGTAGAGGTGCAAAGAGCGGTTTGCAGACCCTCTCGCCCACCTGGGCCCTGCTCTCTGGAGACTGCACAAAAAGGGGCCCAAGAAGTATATCCAGACAACCTTCTCAAAGACCGTAAGAGCAAAGCGACACACACGCTTTAGTACTTCAGGACAACCCACCGCGCGAACAGCGTACCCGCTGCGGGAACTTGGGGCTCCGCTCCCGCCTGCGTTTGGGGGCGCCCCGAAGTTCCGGCCACAGCTGGGGTTCCCAGGGTCGCCCTCCCGCCGGACCACCTCTGGCCCGAAGTCTGCTCGAAGGAATGGGCCTGGCCCCGACGGCCCTCGCGCGTTTCGTCCGGGCCAGGCCGGCGCCAAAGGACCCTCTATTTCTTACCGCTACCGTCGGCCGCAGCCCACGCCGGAGTAGGGGTCGTAGATGGGGCGGAAGGTGGGGTCCGGGACTCAGGCCTGGCCTCCTGCGGGCTGCGCTGCATGCTCTCTGCATCCCGCGGGCCGCAGCAGCGGCGTTGTCATGACGACCGCGCGCGTGCGCCAGCCGTCTCAGGCGGCCAACGATCTGCGCCGGGAGCAGATCCACCGCGCGACCCTGAGCGCCGGAACCAGCCGGCTGTGGCGACCTTCGCCATTACTCCCTCGGTCCCTGAGGCCTGATTGGGCGGGCAGTGACCGCCGATGCTATGGAGGCTCCTTGGTCACCCCGTCTGGGTCCAGGTCACCTGCCCTGGGTTAAAGACACACTGAGGGAGGGCACCCTGGCTCCTTTGCAGGGAGAAGTTCTCGAGGTTTAGGGGGCCCAGCTGATGGGCTAGGGCCCGGGGATACAAAGACGATTAGGACACAGTCCTTCCCCCAAAGTGTGCACATACCTGCGGAGGCCAGGCGCAAAAGCACAGAGTGGTACTAGCACAGATAGGGCGCGGAGGTAAGGGAGCGTAAAGGGGCTTGTCGATCAGTCTTGTGGAGGGGTGGGGGCATCAGGGAGGGCTTCTTGTTAGAGGTATCATTCTGACTGGCCGGGGTGAACCTGCCAGAGGGCAAAACTGCTTTGTGCGTTTCTGGAGATGTGCAGGTTCTTGGGGCTGCCCAGATGAGCCCAGACTGTGTATTGGGGGCGAAGGGGGAGCTGTGTGGCAAGCGAGGCCAGATCCACGTGGAGTCCTGTGCATCCTCTGAGAAGCAGAGCTGTTATGGGGCAGGGCGCTGGGAGCTCTCAAGTGGGGAACAGCTGATGGAGGATGGATTTGACACGACCTAGGGGAGATGCAGTATGAAGCAGCTCAGGAGAGATCATTAAGCATCAGCTAAGACTGGACTTTGGGGAATGAGAAGGAGACAGAACCCAGCGATAGTTACAGGGTAACATGTTCAGGATTTGGTACTTGGGCCTGGGGGAGAGAAAAAAAGGAAGGAGGGAAAGAAGGCCCTCTATTTGGGGTTACCATAGATCGAAGAGAAGTGGAAGGCCCCTGTAGAGCAGCGGTCCCCAACCTTTTTGGCACCAGGGACCGGTTTCGTGGAAGACAATTTTTCCACAGACGGGGGTTGGGGGGGGAGGTATGGGGGGGTGAAAGGGGCGGGGGATGGTTCAGGCGGTAACGTGAGCGATGGGGAGGGCAGATGAAGCTTCGCTCACTCACCGCCACTCATCTCCTGCTGTGCGGCCCGGTTCCTAACAGGCTGCGGACCGGTACTGGTCCATGGCCCGGGGGTTGGGGACCCCTGCTGTAGAGGACTCTGGAGCCAGTCAGAGACTCCTTGGCCTGAGCAAAGGTGTAAGGAAGATCCTCAAGGCAAAAACAGGCCAGTTAGGAAGACAGTGCAAAGGTGAAAAACAAAATGTCTGAGTCCTCTCTCCTTCCCACTACCCCACCAGCCAATTCCAGACCACCGCTCCACTGCCAAGAAATTGTGCCAGGCAAGGCAGAGGTCTCTTGAAACCCTGTGTTTCAAGAGATTTTTAAGCATCACCCACAGATTTTAAGCATCACTTGTATTTCTTCAGATTACACATGATGATGATAGAAAAGACAATTATATTTTCATTTACCCCACGTGCTACCAACAAAGTTGAGAGGTAGCCTGAAATACTCAGGTGTGAGTGTAGGTGCAATTCAGCACCCGCCCTTCCCTATTCCTCCCTTAAAGTATTTTGAGTTAAGAAAATAGGGGAAAGAGAGGTTGAGGATTAATTAATTGCTGCTCCAGGGGAAGGGAAGAATACTCTTCCAAAGGAGCAAGAAGGGCAGAATTAGACTTTTGTTCTAGAGAGTGACTAACAAACAGGGTCAGAACAAAGAGGAAAGAGCTGCTTTAACCAGGCAAACAGCACCTACAGCACTGTTCTCCCCATCTGCCTTAGCAAAACAAAACAGTATTTACACAGAATGACAGCCTGCAATGTCAAAATGCATATCAAATAGGATGGTCAAAAAGACACCACATGTACAGCTCATTTCCGTTAGTACCTTTCTCATCACCCCCAGTGATTTCCAGGTATGGAGGAGGGATGTAGTTTGGGAAAAAAAAAAACCCTCCCTGATTGGGGGGTAGGGGAGCAGGGGAGAGGGATGCTGAGTGGATTCACTGGGTGCTTATGTGCCAAGAACTCGGAGTAGAGGTCTAACTCGAATCTGAGCTTTCTAGAAGTCAGAACCAAAGAAAATATGTGAGGATGTCATTGTTCCTTGTCGTCCCTCGGTGTCCTAAGGGATTAGTTCCAGGACCCACTGGGATCCCAATATCCGTGGATGCTCAAGTCCCTTATATAAAACAACATAGTATTTGCATATAACCAATGCACGTCCTCCTTGCATCCTTTAAATCACCCCTAGACCACGTATAATACCTAATACAATGTAAATGCTATATAAACAGCTGTAAATACCATGTAAAAGCTATGAAATAGTTGCCAGGGCACGGAAAATTCAAGTTTTGCTTTGTGAAACTTTCTGGATTTTTGTTTTTTTGGGGGAGGTACGAGGGCCTCTCACTGTCGTGGCCTCTCCCGTTGCAGAGCACAGGCTCCGGACGCACAGGCTCAGCGGCCATGGCTCACGGGCCCAGCTGCTCCGCGGCATGTGGGATCTTCCTGGACCGGGGCACGAACCTGTGTCCCCTGCATCGGCAGGTGGACTCTCAACCACTGCGCCACCAGGGAAGCCCTCTACTGGCCTTCTTTACATCCACAATTCTCTGGGGGTTTTAAGGAAAAATGCAATTTTTGTTTCGTTTTTTGGCCACGCAGCTTGCGGGATCTCAGTTCCCTGACCAGGGACTGAACCCAGGTCACGGCAGTGAAAGCCCAGAATCCTAACCACTAAGCCACCAGGGAACTCCCCAAAATGCAGTATTTTAAAGTACTATTTTTTTCCTAATGTTTTCTCGGTGTTTATGGTAAGATCAATGATCTTTTGCAACCTTCCACATCCAACCTGAAAATAGAATCAAAAGAGCCATTTCTAAAAATTGAAATTAGACAATCCTTCTTTTAAAATATAAGTCAACCTGTTAGGAGAAAGAGGGGTATTCTCCCAACATGAAACAAAAGCCTACATTTTATGTTGTGTCGTAGTGAGCACTCAATTTAATCAACTAAATTTTATTTCTCTTAAGGATACCAAATCTGGTGGCAAGTAAACTGATATATTTTTTGTTTCTTTTCACAATATTTCAGATTTTGAATATTTGAACTTTCCATCAGAATAATGTCAAATGACAGCACAAAATCAGAACATTCACCTAGAATTCATCAGAAAAATGATCCACAACAGGTCTCTGATAGAACATTTTTCATTGACGCTTCTAATCAGAGCTTGCTTACCATTCCAGCGGAGATTTTAGGCTTACGAGAATTAGAGGAAGTGCATCTGGAAAACAACCAGATTGCAGAAATCCCCAAGGATATTCAGCATTTAAGGAATGTCAGGATCCTCTACCTGAACAAGAACAAGCTGAAGAATCTGTGCCCCGAGCTGGGGAAGCTGAGCAACCTGGAGGGCCTGGACCTGAGCGACAACCCGCTCCTGGCCTCGTCCCTTCGGGTCCTCGGCGGCATCCGCAAGTTGCGTGAGCTCCGCCTCTACCGCACGGACCTGGCGGAGATCCCCATCCTCGTCTGTAAACACCTTCACCACCTCGAGCTGCTCGGACTGGCGGGAAACCACCTGAAATCTCTGCCCAAGGAAATAGTGAACCAGACCAAACTGAAGGAGATCCACCTGAAGCAAAACCAATTTGAAGTTTTCCCTCTGGAGCTGTGTGGTCTCTTCAACCTGGAGATCATCGACCTGGATGAGAACAAGCTAAGTGTCATCCCAGAAGAGATTGGGAACCTGACGAAGCTGAAGAAGCTCTACGTGGCCTACAACAGCCTGCCTGCTCTCCCGGAGTCGCTGTGCCAGTGCTCCAAGCTGTCGGTGCTGGATTTATCCCACAATCGCCTCCACTCCATCCCGCACACCCTGGCCGAGCTCTCGCAGGTGACGGAGATTGGGCTGAGCGGGAACCACCTAGAGAAGGTGCCGCACGTCCTTTGCAGGTGGACCTCGCTGCACCTGCTCTACCTGCACAACACCGGCCTGCGGGTGCTGCGCCGCCCCTTCCGACGCCTGGTTAACCTGCGCTTCCTCGATCTCAGCCAGAACTATCTGGAACGCTGTCCATTGCAGATCTGTGAGCTGCAGAACCTGGAAATCCTGGCGCTGGATGATAATCAAATATGCCAGGTAACGATCCCCTTCCTGACTGTGGCTATGCTCCCACCAAGGGCCCTTCCGGCCCTAAGCTGGTGTAGTTCTGTGTCTAAACATCAGGAAATTCGAACTGAGTTTATGAGTGAAAATCCGGGGTTAACAGATATATCCAACAGGGTCACCATTTATGTTACTTCCCCCCCCGAATAGCAATAGTGATCATAAATGGTAGCTGATGTTTACTTACAATATGTATGTGCAGGTCACTGGGCTAAATGTTTTACATGTATTGATATTATCCCATTTAATCCTCACGATAACTTTTCGATGTGGGTGATATTATCCTCAATGATCTATGAGGAAAATGAGGCATGGGGAGCTTAACTAACTTGTCAAGGCCACACACCTGTACATGAGAGAGTCAGGATGCCAACCCACAGCAGTGGGTTGCAGGGTTCATGTTCTTAACAAGACTACCTCCTAACGGGGTTTCCTGAAACAGCAGAGTTCTCCGACACATACAGCCTGAGGCTTTAATGTTCCATTCACGGGAAACTGCAAAATCAGTTTGTCCCTAGAGAAACTCTCCCACATGTGTGCAGGGTGGTGTGTTCAAAAACGTTCATGGTAACATTGTTGATAATCATGACGTACGGGAGATAATCTAAATGGCAGTTGGTAGAGGAATTTGCAAGTAAATTGCGGTATATTTGTAAAATGGAATACTACACAATAATTTAAGTGAACTGGAGTTATACGTGCCAATGTGGGTAGATCTCAAAAGTGTGATGTTTATTAAAAAGTAAAACACCTAATGGCAGAATATTATATCACATATAAATCTTTAATCACACAAAACTACATACAC